GGTTTTATTTCCTAGATAAAAAAATTGCTTAATCCCTTTAATGAACATCTACGAAACAAATGTAAACAAACGTTCAAACCGTAAGAAAACAGTAATTTATAAATTAATTAATGAAAGGATAATTAAAAACGATATGATTGAAGTAAATCCGGATTTCTATGAAAACGGTTATAGAAAATATTGTAGAGGGATGAAGTGCAATAAAATTCAAGTAACGAATATAATAGTTGATAAGCAAGGTGGTAAAGGCGCCAGTTTACTGCTTTGGGAATCCAGATTCGAATCCAGTCGGTTCAGAAATTTTAATAATTATATTGACCAGGATATGTCAATCTCCGTCTCTCACCGACCAAACAAAATACAATTAAGAGTAATTAGTTCCTGCCGAGTTGACAGTTAAAAAGATGTTCATGTAATCGTGACAATATATTTAATATCGATATAACAGTAAAGAAAATTAATTTTTAAATTATTATAAATGATATCGTTAAATTTTAATAAAATAACCAATAAACGTAATAAGATAAAACATAATGCAATATAAATTGATAATAATAATAGGCAAGTGACACAGAAAAATCAACTTCGAATTCAATGTCACGCGAACATGTTCGCGTGACATTGAATCAAATAATTTTGTCCTTGATAATTTCCGCCAAATAACTTTGATCTTGAGTGTGTCAGCACTTAAGTTCAGTTATGTAATCTTGAAAAATTGAGTTTTAATTTTATGTTTTATATAAAAATTTGTACAAATTTATTGCCAAAAGTTATTTTTCCGGTTATTTACATTCTCGTCATACACATAGTTTAAAAATAATTTAATAGATGAAACTGAGATTGCAGTAATGCTTGAATATTTTAAGAACATTTCGTATGTAGGATTAAAAAAGATTAAAGATATTAAGGAAATTATACGATAGTTTCTAAACAAATAATGATAGCGAGGAAAAGAAAATGTCAGATGGTTAACAAATATGGCTTGACAATTTAAATATGTTATGTAAAACGAATTAAAAATAAGCAAGGACGTATTACATCTAATAATAAAGCAAATTGAAGAGTTTACGTTTGCATGTAATCTATCACTGCATAGAACGTGTTAGGGAATTGCTCGTCGTATATAAATTCGATCTGACTGTTAATTAATCTAATTTGAAGTTCTGAGAAAACATAATGAAAAACATGTCTTTATATTTAAACTGTCACATCATCTCACCGATGTCGCAAAACTCGGAAAACATTGTTTGAATTTTCCGAAATTTCTAAGAATTGAGTCATTTCTCAATAAGTGAAATTGTAGAATATTATTTCATTACTAAGTTCGAGGCTGTACTTGGAATAGTAATGGTTTCTATTTGAAATATTCTATTTTCATATTTCCAAATATCAAAATTTTCAATGACTTGCTCGATTGATCATAACTTCGTTATTTTGTAAATTTAAAATAATAGAAATGTTTAATTATTATTATTTATGAACAAAATATATACTTTTATGATACTAAACCTTGTTTTATTAGCATTGGATCTATAAAGATGTAGAACATTTCAAATCTTGAAATCATTTCCAAGAATCGAAGTACTAACTGTATCATGCTTTCCATTTCACGCAAGAAACTTTCAGTCTCTTCACTCAATGTTTTATGCTTTTAACTTTTGAAAATGTGCTGGCACGCTATAATTAATAAGATAATTAGCGACGTATTGCGACAATAACGCCATTTGGTGCAATATAACATAATGCTAACGTGTTGCATTTTTCAAATTTTTAAATGGAAATCTAGTCAGCTATCATGCTCTTCTATGTTGTGGTAAATCTTTAGATATAAATGTTGTTTAATGATGATTTCTTTTTCATTTTGAAGAATTCATTTTATTTTATTTTTACAAATGAAATGTCCAGAATTAAAACTTATATAATATTTAATTCTACGGATGTATTTATTTTTGCAGAGTTTTAAGTTTATCTAATTTTACAATACTGTGTTTAAAATGACTACATTAATATGAAATAATAAAAATATTATGTTTGAAAGTTATAGCGTAGTCTAGCTTATTTACAGTAACTAAGATAAATAGCATACATTTAAAAAAACAATGAACAATTTAAATAAATTTAAAATATTATTAAAAATTGCAGCCCGGCATTGTGACGAAGTCACAATAAACAATTGCTCCTTATATTTAAAAAATTATATATTAACATTTAGTAATTAAAATTATTCAATTAATCTACATGAAATTATTACTTTCACTCTTATTTTCTAATTAAAATTTTTAATTATCTGTTAAAAAATTTAAATCCGATTTTTTGTGATAAAAAGTTAGCAATAATATTTTTATTTCATTTTAATTATAAGGAATTTTGACGGGAAACGACACATTATTGTATTACTCTCTTTAAATTTTAGTAACCAACAAATTGTCGAGTGAATTATCAACAATTCGGTAGTTAATACCACTTATACCAGTAATTACTAACAATTCATTTCATTCGTTAGTGCCTCTTACTTGGTTTAACTTTTTTTAATACCTTATTATTTGATTATGGAATATAATTTCAATAATAATTAGATGGTTAAGCAGTTTCTTATATTTTAATTTAGAACATTAAAGAACTATTTAAAATCTGCTTCTTTTTATTTTTATTTCAATAAAAGTGGGCGAGTTTAAAATTACGGTTACTTTTTAAAGTTTTAGAAAGTTAAACAAAGAAATTTTTACTGATTTATTTTGAGATACCGAAAGATTGTAATTATGGTACTCCTGTTCAACTGGTCCTGTGCTTGTGGAGATATTTTCCTGGTCCTGTGCTTGTGGAGATATTTAGCAAAGTCAAATGCAACAAAATCTGATATGATAACATTTCAAGACAAGCAGAAAACAGTTATGTAAAAATAAAAAAAATTACTAGCAAAACTGACCATTATGGCACTTTTGGCGCTGCAAACAAAATAAACAGTTTTATTTGTGGCATCACTTAAAACGCTTGGCTTATCGAGGTTATGTTACAATTGAAAGAAACTATCACACTGCATATGAAAAGCATCATAGAAGATAAATTTATAGGCAGCCATTGAAAAACTGTTCATCGCCTTCAGGCTTTATCTTTAGAATGGAGAGATACATTGAACGATATTCCGTGCATCGCTAACTCGTAAGATCTATGTATAGCAAAACTGTCTTGTACAAATAAAATACAATAAAATTTTTGGAGGTTCTCTTATGAAAATGATCTATTAAACTCATGTTTTAATAATTTTAACCGTTTAGTTATCTGATAAAATTCATTTTATTCTTTTTCAATAAAATAGGCTCCCTTTTAAAATTGTTACTTATCACTTTAGTATATAAATTACTATTTTTACGATATTGACTGAAGATATATATGGATTCTATATTCCAGTCATGAGCTATCCGCGGCTCTGGAGGGCCTAATAATCTACCTCAGGGCTTTTGCGATTCAATTTTACTTTTCTGCTTTCTGCCTCGTGTCATGTTTTTACTCTGCTCTGCGGGAACTAAAAGGGCTTTTTATTAAGCACATCGTGGGTTTGGGTATGTCCACAATGGGTCGGCTGGGTTTAGAGGGACGGGTCCGATATATCAGAAACGACTCTCCAAAAAATACCTGGAAATAGTGACTTCCAGTGTTCACTAGTTTTAGTCATTCGGGCACTGTTGGGTCTTCAATCAGGATGGGAAACCGGAAAAGAAGATTTTGGACTCATCCAAAAATCAGCTATATTCTCAGATATCATAAACTTGCTGAGGATCAGAGAAACTAGCTATTTTAGCAAAACAGCTAGTTTCTCTAGCAGTTAATAATGACAAGTTATCAATTTCATATTTTAATCACTCCAGTTGAAATAAAGTAATAAATATTTTTTACATTTTCGATATTTTTCATAGAAACGGAATTCATCGATGTTTGAAAAGAGGAAGTATAATTGTTTCTTTGATAGAATAAAGCAACAACACAATACCTGGACAATCTTCCTTAGGAGAGGCACCTCCCAGAAAGACTTTCTACCACAAATTTCCTTATTTAGGTATTAGGTACTTGAAGAAAACGAAAAATTACACTTGGCCAGTCCTTTGATCAGGCGCAAATCTAGAACCAGCGACAAGTGTTCGGTGATTTTTATCCACTCGAACACTACTAGTCTTACTTATAACTGAAAACGTGTACTTTTTATAATTCATAAGTAATTTAATTACAGGTTTTACGTAAAAATTATAGTATTGTGATGTAAAACCAAATTTACTTCCATAAAAACTTAGTAAAACTTTTGATTACTATTAATATTATCGAGCAACTCTACTTAAAATTTATTTTCAATACTCGAATGCTAATCTATCTTCATACGTATTATCATTACCAGCTGTTATTTGAGCGAAGTAAATATTTTAACAAATCGTACAATGATTATCGAAAATTTATATTTCAATTGTTTTTCAGAGAACGTAACTAATGTCTAAATTCGATGTTACTTAATATGAAAAATTTATCTACACGTTTCAACTAATTATTACTATTATTATTTTGTTGGAGTGTATCCTACAGGTTATATACGGATTTTCAGTATATTTATTCTTAGGACTTTGTCGGACCAAAGTTAAGGCATAACTAGAGAAATAGAACAAGCTATTAATATGCTTATGAACTGTTCGTGTTATATCTTTGTTTAAGAATTTCCTGACTATGTGAGATGTGTTTAGTTTGTTATCATTATTATTTATTTTTAACTTGTGACTCTTAACATTGCGGTAAAGTGCTTTATTTTATAAGCAGTCATAATTAATTCCTCATGTATATCTCAGTGTGTTCTGCTAAAAATTCACATACCGTTATGCTGAATATATTATATTTTTAATAATGAAATTTACAGAAAAACGAATGTAAATTAAGTTACGATAAAGAAATAATAATTAGCTAGTGCTTATTTATCGAATTTTAGAACTAAAATGGTATTATTATTTTATTATTGCGTGTAGATAGTATTTTTGGAGGTTCATATGGAAGTGATTTAGAAAACAGATTGGAAAAAGAAGTAGATTTATTGAAGGAAAGAAAACAGCACATCGATCAAGCGTATTTTAAATGGAAACAAGGTCATGTTATGGTGAAACAAGGCTGTGCTCAATTGGGATACGCATTGAAAAAATGGAAAGATTTATTAGATATAGACTTAAGGTATAATCTGAGTTCTGAATATAAATTTATAATATATCTTTTTTAAAGTTAAGATTTCGCATAGCCTATTTTATTAAATAACGAAAGTTTTATTGTAGAAATTGAAATGATTGATTAAAAGACGTCAGTTTGAAGTAATAAAAAACGTTTTAAAAGTTTATTAAGTGTTTTAAAAACTTAAATTTTAGATTAATAATGATTTTTTTTTCTTTGTAAAGCGATCACGAACGGAGATATTATGAAGCCGCGGAAGTTAGAAATTATTTGTTAGCTGCTACTCAGAATATACAGGGAGCACAAAGATGCTTACCAAATGTTAGTTTTCCGTATTGTGCTCCCGAAGAATTGGAAAATTTAAATAAGGTCAGTGGTAAAGAATTTTTACCTTATTTTGATAAGAAATGAACGTATAACATGTAAATAATAACAAGAAAATTTATAGGGCCTACTTTTATCAAGAAACAGATTATGATACATACAAATAATAATAATTCATTAATAAGATAGTCTAAATTTATTTCTGTTTTAAAATAAATAATAAAATTTTTCTTAAATTTTAATGTAGTTTTAAACAATAAATTATATTGCTTTTATAAAAGAATACAAATTCATCAAATATAAAAGAAAAAAAAATCAATGCTTTGTAGAAGTTTTTCGTTATAACTTCAATCTGAAAACCAATACGAAACAAAATATTGATTATTGACTTTGTGATTTTTACTAATGTCTTATATTGATCGATAAATAGATATAGGTTCTAATTAAACCTAAAATGGAAACACTTAATTTAATAATAGAAAGAAATCGAATTGCTAATTAGACAATACGATTTTTTTATCAGTTGTGTCTATAATAAATATAATATTAATTTATATATATAAAATATAATGCCATATTTTTAAATATTCATAGTTATTAATTTGAAAATGAACAATTAAATATATTCGTAAGAGCTAGGAGGATTGAAGTTAGTGATTTTTAATTGTTATATGAAGGTAATTAATTTATAAAGAGATACAATATCATTTTTTCAATATGCCAAGTATAAACGGCGATAATTTATGATATATTCCTTCATCACGTTAATCTATTATTATACTAGTAAAACCTAGTTTAAAAAATGTATGCGTGCTCCTTACTGAAAGATGAATGATAAAGTTCTGTATTAATATTTAGATTATTCGATTAACGATTCTAACGTAAAATTGAGATAAAATAAGTTAATGGTTTAGTTTTTTTTCTAATTTATTATTTTATTATTATTTAAATATTGACTTATTGCTAAAATATTTATTTTTTGAAGGCAATTACGTACATTTTCACTGACATGCAAATACCAGAAAGACATAAACACGCGTTTGATTTCTACAATAGAACGTATAGAAGAGCTGGAGCATTAAAGCAGTGGTTCGAACAGGTAAAATTTTAATTGTTGTTTTCAAGATTTTAAAAATTAATTCAATTTTTGTTTATTTAAATTTTGTTTTTTTCGTAAATTTAAAACAGTAACTGAATATTTACTTAAATCATTATAAACGCCATTCGTGATTTAATAAACTATGCTTGTTAATCATTAACAGAAAATTGAATGGAATTGTTAATAAATGCATTGTTTATTAAATCAGCTGGAGATTACAGAGATGGTCGAATATAACTTTTCTCGAATTCGAATATTAACTAGATCTCGAATATTCGAATATTTTGAATACTTAATTTAATTACCTTATATAACTTAGTTAATAATTTTCAAACATATAGTGTTATTTAAATCTTATTACTTAATAAAGATTAATATACATTTATATTTAAACTTTTCTTTATTTCTATATATTAAGAAAAGGATAAAGTAAAAAAAAAATTAAATTTTAAGAACTGAACTTTTTATTTTTAAATTTGAAATTGTTTATACTGACTTTGAGCCTTAAAATAACTTTTTTTAGATATTCTTCACTCAACTACAATAGATCAACAAATAATTGATTTCATTCTCACTAACTGCATATAATTTAAAGATGTGACACAAAAATTAATAAAATTTCTAATTAAGTAGAAATTAAATTATAAATTGATTAAAATTCTAATTAATAAGATTTGAAAGAATACTTTTCGGTAGGCCTATTCGAGTATATGCAACCATCTCAAGTTATTAGTGTTTATGAAATTTAAAAACGAGAGGCAATATTAATAAGATTTATTATAGTTAGAAAAACTTTTATCATATAAAAAGAATGAATATATAATAATTTCTTAGAATATATTTTGCATAATTAATATTACTTATTACAAATATTTGATAGTAAGTTTTAATACTGTCTGATATTACTGACTATACAGAAAACTAGAAATTATTTGAAAATTGTATCCGTTTTATTCAGATTGTAATGAAATTAATTATTGAGAGAATTGATGCCGTCAGCTGTAATTCATTATTAATAATATAGGCATAAATCTATAAATGATTAAAACGCAATGTTTAAAAAATTTACACACTGCACAAATGATTTTAACTAAAAAGTAGTATAATAAACAATAAAATTTTAAATTTTAAAAATTAAATCTTAATTAAAAATTCAGATAAAGTGTTAAAAAATACTTTAATATTAAAAGTTTATTATCATAAAAATATATTAAATTTCGACATATTAAAGTTTGAAAAAAATTATATTGAAATTAATAAATTAATTGAAAAAAATATCAAAAGTTATCATTATATGATTAACATCAATTATGATGTCAATACTTTAATTGTAATTAAACAGCGTGATTTTGTTTATATTTAACACATAAATTATTAAAAATAATCTGAATAAAATCGAAACGACAGGAACGCTAGCTGTGGCAAAAACGTGAATTACAGTAACACAATTGTTTCAAATATCGAATTTCAGTAGTCGCTCTGCTTCTCTAGAACGATGTTGTGATTTCGCGAAATTATTTATATTTATTTGAAGTGTGAATTATTTTCATGATTCTATCATGAATATATTTTACCGAAAAGTTATTCCTAGGTTTAGAAAAATATTAATTAAGGCTATTCTGCCTAATGGGTAATTGTGCTGCTATATCGGATTCAGAACCCGAGACTCCAGATATTTATACAACTTGTAGATGTCATAATTTGCCAAATGATGAGACATTTAACTGTGATTGCCAGGTATTGGATACTACAATATCTAAAGACTTAGCGGAAGTAAGTGAAGATTGCAAAAACAAATCCGTCCAGTTACGAAGAGAAAGGATTAATTTAATCAGAATGAAAGTTAAAGAAATAACGGGAAAAGATGTGGAATTTGACACAGGTAAGTTAATTATTAGATTATTTATGAATAGCACATAATATTTTAGATATAAACAAACTGGTCTTTTACTCCTTGATTATTTTTTGAGTTGTACAACGCTATTGAGCCGTTGTAGTTAATCTCTTTCTAAACAGAATTCGATAGCGTTTTCATTGATCTCGCTTACATAACAGAGTTTATTTAAAAAAAAAAATAATATTGAAATTTGAATAGGAAAAAATCATGTAAAGCAATTCGATTAAATTATTATACATTATATAATTTGATAAAAGATTAAACCTCACAAATAAATTGATAATATTTTTCAACAATTTAATCGTCGAACGTAAAATAAAATATTGCAAAAATATTATTTAAAAATAATGTTATATAACAGACTAAAATCAGGAAGTATTCTCAATTAGTTTGCTTTACTAGTTTAATTTTATGCTATTTATATTTTCATGAATTGATTTCTTTCACAACGTTTACGTTCTGTTTTGGTAAAGGAAAGTTTCAGTTCTTAAAATCTAATAGTTATTATAGTGTTAATGGGAAAAAATTATATGTACGTAACTTAAATATTAATACATAAGCAGAATATAAGTATTAATAATAAATAAACCATAATTATATTTTATAAAATTTATATTGGTTGTATTAAGCAATTTTTTTAAACATGTTTTAAAATGCATGTGTTTATTGTACAATCACGAAGTTTCAGCGTTTCGTGTGTAGCTTGTAAAATTATATGTACCGCCCAATAAAATTTTTTAATAGTATCGTTTTTTTAATGCCTAAATAATGCTTTAATGCTTTAGTAATGGTTAAATTTTTAAACGAAAAATAAAATAACATGATAAACTTTGAATAATTTTAGTAATTGAAAATTTTTAAAAAGATAGAAAATGTTTAGAAATGTATAATTAATTGTTAATTTGCAAAATATTTTCATTTCATATTTATATTATTGTTTTTATTTTAATTTAATGTGTTTAATACATTTTTATCGTTGTAAATTAATTATTCTTTTAATGTAATGTTCTAAATAAGAGTTATTATAAAAAATTATCAATAAGTGAGTGAATAATGAGTAAATAATTTTTATTCATACAGATTCAGGTTTTAATTATTTGAAATGCTTAACAATATTTATATATTTTTAAATTCATACTTATAATACTTTTATAAAATAATAACTCACTAAAATTTAAAAATTTTTAGTAATGTAGGCACAAATCTTAATTATATACTATTATTATAATTAGGGAAAATATAGACTATGAAAATAGCACTCATTTAAAGATTTAAAAATCGTCAAAAATTAACATATTAACATTTATTTATATTATTGCTCTATTTTAAATTTAAAAAAAAAATGAACATCCTGTTGAAAACAGCGAAGAACGATTTTTTTTCTAATTAAATAATGTCTTAAGAAGTTATTGTGCGTGTCTTTGTATACATGATGTCACTAAAGGTAACCAAGGAAACAAATAGGCTTGCTTTAATACGCTTTTCGTGAGAGAAAATAAAAAGAGAAATATTCTGTTAATATCAATAAAAATCAATAAGTAGTACTGTTGTGAAAACGTTTGCGGTGAGCAAAGAAAATAGCGAATAAACTTATCGCTATCCTTCAAGGAAAATAATTAAAATTTAATGAATTTTAGTAAGAAAAAAAGGAATTACGTAGTGTTATTCTAATTAATCATATCCCGTATAATTTTGCTAATTAGTTATTTAAAATTATATTAATTAGCGTATATTATAACTAAAAATCTTGAAATATTAAATATAACGAGCAATTATTTATTGTCACACCGTCACAATGCCGGGCTGTAATGCTCTCCATCTGAAATTAGTAGTGTCTTGTCCCTGTACATCATACTTTTCCTTTAACAATAGAGTCGTGCCGGTCATTTATTAACTGCTTGCAGGGGAAAGATTTAAATTAAAATAACGTATCTTTCAGTTTGAATTATTGAACTGTTTCTAGTTTTATTCTTATTTTTTCAGTAATTTTTCAATATATTTCATAAAAGTTAAATTTTATTTGAAGTTAATTTCACGCTTTTCAGTTAACAATGTATAAATTTGTTATGATAAAAATTAAATTCGAAAAGAATAACAGTGTAGATAGGTCAAGGCTTAATGAGGAAAACAACTACTTAAAATTAATTTTAATATTAATCGATTTAACTCTAAATTTTATTAATGGCTTGGCCGAGTATTCGGTAAACTAGAACATTGTGTCCACAGTGAATACTCGTTGCATGAATAATTTAAAATTGAATGCCAATGTGAAATATCAGGAAAAATAGTTAATTACTTTGTTTCATCTATTATTATTAAAGTTTTTTATATATATGCCTATACTGTATATCTCTGCAGCATGCATTGACCTGTATTTGCATTATTTTCCTTATCTTAGCTTATTTTAGATATTAAAAATCTTCTAGAAAAATACTTTTTAAGAAAATACTGATAAGCTATTAAGCTTATATATCCCTCTGGTCATCTTAAAATTTTAATTTAGTAAATAATTATTTGTAATAATACAACCCAGAAATTCCAGTTTAAATTAATGATTTTAGAATCATATTAATTTATATCGTCATAATTTTTAATATTTGTCTTGAACAGCTTGAACGATTCAAAATACTTTGAAGAAAAATACATTCTTGAAAAGTGTTAATTTATATTTTGATTTATATTTAAAAGTCTATTAATAAGCATTTTATATTTTGTATGATAGAATTTTTATATTCTGTATGATAGTTTACCTGACGTTCTCTGCGACGTCAATCAATTTTAGACGTGAGATGATATCATCCGTAATGTCCACGATTATGACTATTCTGAAGATATCGTGCTTCCTGATATGTTTACGATGCAAAACATTATATTATATCTATGATATTACATTAAAAAAAAATTTATTTCGTCTCAAAGAAGGAATTAAAGATTGTGACGTCCTTGCAAATACGAAAAATTTGCCGAATGGTTTTTAAAACACCCTTTTACGCAGCAAGGAATTCCGATTTGGATCGATCAGGAATGTTATTGATAAAATTGAAAGAAGGAAAATGTCGGAAGCGTAACTTTCCTTCTTTCCCTGATCTGGTTGATCCAATTGCAAATTAAACCCATCGTAGTGAGTAAAATTAAGACTTATTTTATAGATCATTTGCTGGAATTTTGCTAAAAATTCAGAACTTGTATCTTCCAATTAGATTGTAATCTGGTTGTACCAAATTTATTGCATATCTTTAATTGTTTGAAAAAGTCAAGTTAAAAAATTTGTTGCTGCTCGAACCGTTACAGATTGCAGAATTTGAGAGAAAAATGCATTTTTTGAAGGGCTAATAACTTACAGAAACTTTTTAGAAAGCCTTGAGTCATCGTGAAATAACTAACCTAAATATCAATTTTTCGTGTTATTATTCATTTTATTCTGTTGTCAGTAAAAAGAAAACAAATCAGTTTTAATTATCTGAACATCACCACAAAATTTTAGTATTCGGGTGAATTTGAAAGTCTTCGGAGACAATATATTAACACATTAAAGAAGGCCATAGGGGCTATTTTATGCTAAAACGGAATTATTTTCTGAAAATAGAGGTACTTTTTTTAAAAATATGTTTAAAAGAATATTGTAATTTCGTATTTTCGTTATTGCAAAGTAATGAGTATTGCATACGTGTACTTGAATTTTGTTTAATTATATCATTTTGATAATGATTTAGCCCAAGGGAATTGCTTAAAATATTAGGTCAGAGGAATCGTCCTTTGAGATCTTAAGCATAATTTCAATTTCTTATATCTCAAAAATTTCATTGCAAGTTTTAGAATTAATATATTTTATTTCTGTAACGAATATCATCAGCATACAAGAACTGTATATGATCGGTTTCAAATTTTTCTATTACGGCAATCCCGGATAGCTGCATTCATATTTATGATTAAATAATTTAAAAAAATATTTAGTTATTTGTTATAATATACTAAAATTTGTTTATAATCATTATATTTTATTGACTTTAAAAGCGAATAACAACAGTAAAATTCTGTACATGATAAAACCGTCAAATCTTTTAAATTATTAACGCATCTTAAAATCATTACTATTTAGTTTAATATCTCGAAATGGGGCAATGATTAAGAAACAAAATTTGGCACGGTAACTTGCATTTGATGCTATTAAAATTTGGTGGTTATAGATGAAGGGGTACAAATAATATCTCGAATTGGATCGGACTTATGAAAATTTTACTCATTATTGGCATTTACAATATTTTTAAAAACTCATCTTCACCCTCAAAATTAAGCCTTTTGCCTTTTTATAATAATTAATAACATATAATTTATTTTAAATAAAATTTCATAACAGATGGCGCCACACACAATTTCATTTAAAATATTATAATTATTATTAAAAAAAACTAAATATAAATATGCATCTGGTAGATTTAGATTTTGTACTTGGAAATGTTCTACAAAGGATTAATAAGGCTTGGAGCAACAACGAGATCCGACAAACGAGTATTTTGCAAACTTTCCCGGTGAAAAAGGAAAGTTACGCAACTCGTTGCTGGATTTTTAGTAATTTCCAGATATTTATTGTTACAATAATTTTATTTCTTTGCAAGTGTAGTTTAATTTATTGGAAACTTTTGTCTGATAACAGTAAATAGTTTTGATGATAGCTAGTAATGGGTGTTATTTTTGGTAACCTGGTTTTATAGTTTTATTTTAATTTATTATTTTATACTTTTATTTTATTATATTATGATTGCTGTGCATTTCAGTAAACTTTTTCTTTAAAGTTGCACGGATGTATGGATGGAATATAGAAATTCAACACATGGGGATCTTCCTAGGGAGAGTTTTTATCGGGAGAAATTTCTGTGGAAAACTGACCTCTATTTATTAGACACGTGAAGAAACCCGGAAAACTCCCGGTGGCAGGTAATTAGGAAACGGGAGGTTGTTCGATGGTTTCATCCGATCGGGCACTGGTAGCTCTTTGACGTTGATGTAACTATTGTTAATGATTTTTATATTTAAAGAGGCAAAAATAGCTTGTTTTCAAGCTATTTTTAGTAGAATTTAAAATTTATGCAAAATGGTTTTTGGTATTTAAATCCTGTCAATAAAATTGTCGAAAACTTAGATTACTGATAATAGACAATTAGGTCGAAAATTTTCATTTTCTTTTAATCACTTTTCTTGAATAAAGAGGAACAGTTTTTCGTTTCTATTGTTTTTGGCCCCGTTTCTTTTTCTATGAAAGGAGGTTAAAAAGGTTATATAGATGTGTTATGATGTTTCTGTTGGCACTACAACTACATGTATAAACGATGTACTATACACATCTTTAAACAAAAATATACTGATACTTATATTTATATAAAAATATAAAACTATTGAGCAATTTAATTAAATTTAGTTTGTTTTAAAATCAATTTATAAGTGAAAAATTTATCGAAAATATGTTAAGAAAACAAGTAAAAAAATAATCATTGCATCGTTTGTTTTAATTTTCAAGTTTTTTGGTCTAAAATATTTGGTCTTCCTTTATTTATTTACCAGAATACGATTTTAGACTCTACTTTTAATTATATTTCATAAATGCTGAAAATAAAACTTTAAAATAATAGTTTACTGTATTATTTAAATTAAAAACACGAAAAGATTATTGAAAAGTAAATTAGTTTTATTAAATATTTTATTTATAAAAAATTGATAGCCATTGATCTTACGAATTTACGTTATCAAGTTAACAGAAAGGACAAGTGCAAATATTTGGATTAAGTCGAAAAGATTTAATGTTAACAATAGTATTTCTATATTCAACAATAATAATCGTTACAGCAGATAAAAAAAATTAAAAAATTATAAAAATTTGATAATTTTTACTTTCCCGACTTTGTTAAACTTTCCCTCTAGAGGGAAAGTATGGCGATCGTTCAAAAATTAACCCTTTCCAGATTTTTATTTTTATATTCAAATTCTTTTTGCATTTCTCAAAAGAATTTGAGGGTTTTTCCGCATGGTTGGATGGTAGTGTGTGAGAGGATAGGATTTTATTCATCCATTTTGAAGCTTAATAACTCTCGTCTTTTGTGTTGTAAATTTTTCTGGAATTTTGCAGGGAGTTTTGTGTATTAGGGGAGTGATGCTATTAAATTTTTGGTAGTTAAAGGTGGATGAATGGGAAGATAAAGTGGTTCGTGTGTTATATCTCGGGCAGGGTCGGACCTAATGAATATTTTACTTGCTGTTAGCATTTAATTTTTTTTTTGTAAAACTTATCGCTACTTTCAAAGTTAAGCTTTTTGCCATTTTATTATAATTAATTGTACTTTTAAATAAAATATTATAACAAATGGCGCTATATGCAGTTTTAAACATTGTTGCCGGGAGTTAATAAACTTGTTGCTGGATTTTTAAAAATAAAACGAGAAAAGAAAATTTAATAAAAACACAAGCAATTATTTATTGCGACATCGTCACAATCCTGGATTGCAATTTTTCGTCACAATGTTCTCAATTTTAGTAGTCTTGCCCCTGTATATCGTATTGTTAACAAGAGAGTAATGCCGATCATCTAACTCTGTTCAAGAGAAAATTTTAAAATTAAAATAACGTGACGTCTGGTCCAAATCTGAAGTCCGTATATAGTTAATCGGGGCCTCCTGTTCTAAACTTTCATCTATTTCATTCCGTTCTCGAGATTAAGGAAGGACAGACACAGGAGGACGGACACCAGTGGAAATTTATGTCTACAATTTTTATTTACAAATTTTTAAATATGGTTTAAACCAAAGTAAAAATATCGAATAAATAATTGATAAAATAAATAATTGAGCAAAATAAATAATTGCTCGTTATCGTGTATTTTTAAATACATGATAACGAGCAATTATTTATTTTGACATTGTCACAATGCCGAGCTGCATTTTTAATAATATTTTTTCAAAATTTACTCAATTTAAAATATATGTTCGTTATTTAAAATTTGTACTGTCTTGCCTCTGTACATCATACTATTCCTAATAACAACAGAGTCATGCTGGTCATATATGTAACTCCATTCAGAAAAAATTTTTGAATTGAATTCACGTGACTTCCGGTTAAAACGGAAGTTCGTATGTAGTTAATCGAAGCTCCTGCCCTTTCCATCTGGCCTTGACTTTCGTCTTTGTAACACTGATCTCGAGATTAAGGAAGGACAGACAGACAGAGGAACAGAGAGTTTATAGGTACCAAAAATATTAGTTTATCAATATGGAGAAGTAGGCCTAATTATATAATAAATAACACTTTTCGAATTATTGAAATATTAAATACAGTACAAAACTTTTGTTTTTAGTAATAGTTCTTTAATAGAAGAGTATACGTGAAAGTTGTTATATAAGAATTCGTTTGTAACAAAAGTTTAAGTAACAAGTTCTACTATATTTTAATTTTAATGATGAATTTTCCATTATTATTTTTGAATAGTTAATCTGTGTATTAGTTTTAAATTTTATTGATTTCTTTATGCCAATTCATCGATCTTTCTCTTCAGCTTAAGAATATTATTATGCACTTCGAATTCGATTGCAGACAATGTAAACTAAATAATCACATTTTTAAATTTTTATGATGAAATTTTCAGGTATTCAGTATATATAATAAATACAACTAATCCGACAATTATTTTAAATGTCAAACGAACAGCCATATTCCTTTATCAAGGTATTATTAATTATAATATAAAATTCATTAAAGTTCAGATTATATTTAACAAGAGGTGGCAGCCTGTCGGCCTGCCTTTTGCCAAATTGTTTAGTAATTTTTAACTTTAATATCCCGATAACATATTCGACTATTCGTTTGACTTACGAAATTGCAAAACAGACTATTCAATAATAACAGGAATTCAGTTTGTTTGACAGCTGTTATCATTTTATGAGGTAGAATGAGTACAGTACCGGAAAGAAAGAGGTAATAAATTTGACGAGTCGTTCGATTTCTGACAATTAACATAAACAAATTACAAACACAGATCGAAGTTAGAACGAGTTACATCATACATAGCATTAGTCAGCTCTCCCAAAAACGTGTATAAAAAGGGCCTGGACACAGTCCTGCGGGCGGACATCAACAGTGGACACCGTACTCTTCCCGCCATAATCGCCGGCGGACATTCTCCCAGAGAATGTCCGCCGAGGGAGCCAGCTTCCGTCCGTCCGTCGCCACCCTTGACTCGACCGCCCTATCGCCGTCTCTCTGCCAGGATGATCGTGATCTGAATGAAAGGAGGAATACTGGCCAACTCTTATGACCGCCGATCCGGGTGCGTTTCATCGACGTCCTATACAACAAGATCGGGAACCATCGGTCTATGAGGTATATTATACGTAGAATTGTAAACTCTCTCTCCCTCGGTTCTTTAGTTAAGTACTTCTTTAGTTCTTTAGATAAGTAGCAGTAACGCATCCTTTATATCCAACCTTAAAAAACCTTATGTATACTAGCTTAAGTTTATATTAAAGTTGTTGTTTTGTTGAACCTATGGATCTGTCTATATTTCTTTAACGGGCATCTTGTCGACTTACTCACACCTCCCCATTCGATTTAAAAGCCCTCCTAGCCATCCTATGACGAGAAGTCGGTAAGAAGGGTTGAGCTCACGGCTCTTTTCCCTCGGTTCTCACGTATCTATTCTTACATATATTTATTTTGATGAATTTTAAATAGAATAATTTTTAATTATAATTATTTTTGTTTTAAACAAATAAATCATTTGGAAATAAAAATGTTAATAACTAATCGTTATTAAAATTCATAATTACATAATTAAATCGTTTGTTTTATTTAATTGCATTATATTCTTTTATACTTTGGCATCTAAAACTCAAGCGATAATTATGTTGACCTAACTTAAAGTTTCGTTATTTCTTTTATAAATGATGAAGTTTTATCTTTAATTATTATCGGTACTTTTAAAATTTGTATTTACAATTTTAAAATTAACTTCTTAGTTTGTTTGCATTACAAAATTGATTTACTCTTCTTTGATAATTTTATTAGACTATATTAAACTATGCATAAACATTTAGTCTTCAGTTTTAAGCAATAAATAATAAATAAAATGCTTAATAGTTTATTTAATCATAACTCTGTATTTATATTTAGATAGTGCCATAGATAGTGAAGCCGACGATGTTGTTGCCGACGAACAGATTGCTCAGATTTTTGAAGCTGATCGCATAGGTGCAAAGGTAAGCGAATACAATAATAAAAATTTTAAGTTTAAAACTTTACTGATTTAATTGGAAGTAATAGCAGTAACTAGGACAGAAAAATTATATGTATATAACTGATATTATCCAAAAAAATCGATAATAATTTACAGTAATATTTAATACTCACTTTAGATAGGAAAATAACTTTCTGTCTGATTTAACAAAATTTTATAGGATTAATTGAAGTAGAACAGATTTTTATATAGCGCAATACTGATCCTAGGTAGAATTAATAATTGAGTGTGTTTGGATTGAAAACAGTGCGTTACGCATTAGCAATTTTTCAAGCAAATCAACTGAACAGTGATAGTTTCTTATAAGACCGATAGACGATGTACACATCTAAATTTGTTAATTGAGAGGAATGTGTCAGTTTTTCATCAAGCTCTCTCAATTCATTTGTGTTTTAACAAAAACTGAATTACATTTTAAAAAATTAATTTTCATTATGATTAATTTTCTATATTTCAACCGAATATTTATATGTCTAATAATATAAAATATTTAGGATCAGATCAAACATTTTGAATATCTAAAATTTGATAATTTGGATCCTAAAACAATTTTCTATTGGTGCATTGAAATAACCATTGAGATGTTCGAAAATCATTCGGAGTGATTGATGCTTTCTACGTTTTCTTGTGCTTAATACAAGATGGCGATCTTCACGAATTATAATAATCTTTGGAAGATGATGCCCAATTCTTTTGACACTTTGTTTTGCTTCGGAAATTGTTACCGTAATTTTGGAACTGCTTTTGGATGTCTACTTAAGATTTTTTTTTACATACGGGTGTGAGACAAACTTTCCAGTCTTTCTGTTGTTTTAAATCTTAATAAATTACATAAATGCCTATGAGAAATTTATGATTTGTGTTGGAATGAAATGTTTTTATACCTTTGAAACAGATTTAAAGGTTTTATTCTATTTGTTTAAAATAAATCTCCTTATTTGTTTGTTGAAAACCCATTTATAAATTTGGTTAAATGATTTTATAAGATATTTTTATTATTATTAGGCATATATTTATATATAGTTTTCATAAAAATTAAAATATATACCGTACATAATATATATTTTAATTTTTATCATAAATAACTAGGATTTCAATTCTGAACGTCAATGGCGGCTCTCCTAAATAAAGTATAGGCTAATTTAATTTTAATTTTGTTTGCATCAAAAGTATCAATATTTAATATAAAATCAAAGCCATTGTAAATATATAGGACTATTTTAGAAAATAATAAAATAATATAAATTTTATTTTTTATTAAATCGCTGATGATAGGAACCGTAATAAAGTAATATTAAATGAGGAATGAGCATTAAATCACACTAAACTGCTGTACAAAAAACGTATTTGTGCTGCTGATAATTTGTAATAGTTTGACCAATTAATATGAACTAGCAACTCGTCTCAATCTTTAGAAAGTGAGAAGTTTAGTTATAATTGCATTAAGTAATAAACTTTAGCAGAATAAAGGAATAAGCGTATTTCAAAGAAAGTAAATGAACACACACATTAAATTGATATTTTCAATGGAAGTTAAGAATTTCGAGAAAAGTTTTTTTTTTCAATGAGACATATTGATGACTACTTTTCTAAGAATCGATCCTTAGTAAATAAAAATCCGCTTATAGTTAAATCGATATGTTTAGTTTATTTACCGAGCTATATATCTTTACGCAAAAGAAATACTTAGTAATATTTAATATTAACTGTATTCATTCCAATCACCATTAAATATTATTAATAATATGTGATAATGCCGATATATTTTTTCTAACAATAACTATAAACTTACAGAAAGGATTTTTAATGACGGATCCTCGTTTATCTACGTTACCTACTCCTTTACCGATATCAGATTTGGCTCCTATGCCTAGTAACGAGGAAATTTTTGGTAAGACTGTTTATTTTTACTTCTGTGTTATTATGCCACTTATAAAACTACATAATAAAACTTTTTACATAGGAAAAATTGACGAATTGAGAAAGCGTCATGCTGCAGAAATGGAAGAATTCAAGAAAGCTCAAACGTTAAATAAAGCTAGAATGGTTCAAGGATTACAAGAAAAATTAGAAATGAGAAGGAATAGAAGAAGTCGAATATTAATGCATGAAAGAGAATCAGCAGCCTTGCAATCTCGTTGATAGATTTAAAAAAAAATACAGTATATAATTAAGTTTTAATAATTACATTTCAGGAAAATTAATCATTTTGATTATCACGAATTTTATTCAAAATAATTAATTTTTGAGAACAGAAATAACGAGAAGCAAAGTTTATAGGTAAATTGTTTTTAAATCACAATTCGTTTATCAAAATTGGGTCATAAAATAAAATTTTTCTTATAATGGAAATCCTATTTGTGTTAATTTCAATGATAAGCATTACAAATAGCTCGTGGAGCTCACTCATTTTTATCCAAATATACACAAATATGAAGCAAAACCCTATATAACAACAACAGTAATACTTAAATGTACAATATTGTGATATATATATATATATATAGTATTAATACCCTAATGTAAAGTTAATTGAAAAACTCTATTTCTTTACACTGTTTTAGTTCGGAAAATTGTTACGTGAATTATGGAAGAAACAAATGATTTGAATTTAAATAAAAATGTTATCAATAAAAGTGAATAGGATAATTGGAGGTGAAATCGGTCAAGGGCCTAACTGCCTAACCTGGACCATTTCACCTCTTGACCCATTTCACCTTCAACTACCCTAAGTGTTTAATATGATTACACTTATGATTACACTTAATACATCCAAATAAATATAAAGAAAAATAATAAAAGTAAATTATTGTTTAATAATATTTTCTTTGTAGCTGTATTCATATCTTTTCCATATCTGTCTAATAATTTTTTAGACAACGAAAGAACTAATTTGCATAATGAAAAGTTTATATAGGCTTTTATGATCGTTAAAGTGAAAATTCGTAAAACGGAAGTGCATATAGAGAGGAATGGTTTGACTGTACTTAAGAAAATAGTCAGCTAACTTTAAATTTTGTTTCATATATAAATAATTGATTAAATATTAATAATAAGAGATAGTTTAATGATTATAACGTTTTACTAATATCCGGACATCTGATACAACAAGTCCTCACTTAACCATTTAACGAAACCAATTTTATCATAGGCTACAAATATAAACAAGATATAGTTCGGTTAATATTATTGTCAGTTGATTGTGTTTGTAAATTTATTATAACGTTTATTTTTCATCTCATAAAATCAGTTTTACTGTTTATAAGGAAAAATTCAACAACAATAATCTTAAATTATAACAATTGTACTAGTATTTTTTTTCCTGAACGGCGTTAAAACGAAACAACGTAAAGTGAGGAAACGCTGTATTTTCCTCCTTTTTCATTGGAAAATTAATAAATGAAAAATGACTGCTTAAATATTTAGATTTTATTTTCGTGGAGTAGGGAAGAGTCAGGTTTATTGGAATATTTTTATTAATGTATTTTAAAATAATTACTTTGTAAATGTTTCTATTTTAAGTAGATTTATCTCACAGTTTGTCGTTATTAGGCAACTTTTAAAATTTAAATTAATTTTTTACTTTTAAAGATAAAATGAACGCATATTTCGATTTTTTAAGTCAGCTGTAATGACAGGATTGGTTGAAATTTGAGATGGACGAATATCACTTTTCTTGAATTCGAATACCTCGAATAATTAGTGTACTTAATTTCCTTTTACAACTTATTTAGTTAATATTTATTATTTAACTTGTTTTATTTATTTCAATATATTAATGAATCAATAAAGCTGACGCCAATAAATTTGATACTTCTGGATCTGCCACTATGGTTATATTTATGACGCTACATTGGAGATACAGTATTTGTAGTATTTTAATTTATTTTTTTTTATCAACATAATATGCGAAATCTAGAATATGTAATACTTCCTAATATTAGAGTATTTTGGGATATTATTCGCCCAGCTCTAGTTGTAACATTTCACTTTACATTACCAAAAATAAAATTTTATAACTAAATATCGAGTGATTGTGAGTAAAGTATCTGTTCAACGCCTTTTAGAGAACTACACAGCAATCTAAATGCAACCTAATTTGGTATAATTGCATTCCAAGATATGCAAAAGACATTTTCCTAAAAAAATTTGTACCAAAACTCACCATTATGATAGTATTGGCCCTGCAAGAATGCTATATACAGACCTTAGCGACACTGCTCATTGTGGTACCCATTCTGTAAGTATAAAACCTGAAGGCAATGAGTAGTGTATTCAAACGTTAAATGTAATTCACCCTTTGTGATGTTTCTTACGTGTAAGGCCCATCAGTAATCAAACGGATAAAACCACTGAACACTAGCAGTTAGTCGCGAATTGTTTGAATATGTTATTCATTAAAACTTAATTTATTAATTTTTTAAATTAGTAGTTATACATTTTGGTGTAAATAAACAGTTAAAACATTTTTAAATAATTATTTTGAAATAATCGTTGTAAATATTTTAATACGTCTGCTTAACTATTTCCATTATGAGGTCTCCATTAATTACGTTTCAGTTTAAGGGAAGGAGATCACGAAAAGCATTGTCTACGTCAACTTTTTAGCGATGTTAGAGGCAAACAAATTTGTTCTTATAAGCGTAGTTACGTGAATAAACTATGAGTTAGGAAATATTTGGAAAACTTTTAAAGTTATTTCTTTAAGCAAAAGGCAAATGGAAGGAGGAAGACTAAAAAAATGAAGGCAAATGGAAAGAGGAAGACTAAAAAAATCATGATAGAGTTCGTAGATTTTTATTTCCAGAACAAACGTCTTTGTTCGATCTGGAAATAAATGATGACATAACAAAAGAGTCAAAAAGAGTTAAGAAACATAGGCCTATATGTTATTGAAAAAATGAATCAACTTTTAATAATAAAATAAAATTGTTACAATAATAAGTTTGATAAAATATTAAAAGTATGAAATGTATATATTGAAGGTAAATAAGAAAGCTTTGTACCAAATTAAAGATAAATGATTTTTATGAGAAAATAGAATTAATATTATAGAACAATATCAAACCCAATTCAAGAATCAAAAATAGTTCATAGCTAAATGTATTCAGATTCCACCATAATACTGTATTTTAAAACAAAAATTCACAAATTGGTATTCTTGTTTTAGAACGTCGTAAAATTTCTTCCTATATAAATAGAAGTCATAGTGAAGAAACACATTGATTGGAATAATTTTCAAGGTTAAAAATTATATCAGAAAATATAACATGAAACTGNTGTTCTCAATTTTAGTAGTCTTGCCCCTGTATATCGTATTGTTAACAAGAGAGTAATGCCGATCATCTAACTCTGTTCAAGAGAAAATTTTAAAATTAAAATAACGTGACGTCTGGTCCAAATTTGAAGTCCGTATATAGTTAATCGGGGCCTCCTGTTCTAAACTTTCATCTATTTCATTCCGTTCTCGAGATTAAGGAAGGACAGACACAGGAGGACGGACACCAGTGGAAATTTATGTCTACAATTTTTATTTACAAATTTTTAAATATGGTTTAAACCAAAGTAAAAATATCGAATAAATAATTGATAAAATAAATAATTGAGCAAAATAAATAATTGCTCGTTATCGTGTATTTTTAAATACATGATAACGAGCAATTATTTATTTTGACATTGTCACAATGCCGAGCTGCATTTTTAATATTTTTTCAAAATTTACTCAATTTAAAATATATGTTCGTTATTTAAAATTTGTACTGTCTTGCCTCTGTACATCATACTATTCCTAATAACAACAGAGTCATGCTGGTCATATATGTAACTCCATTCAGAAAAAATTTTTGAATTGAATTCACGTGACTTCCGGTTAAAACGGAAGTTCGTATGTAGTTAATCGAAGCTCCTGCCCTTTCCATCTGGCCTTGACTTTCGTCTTTGTAACACTGATCTCGAGATTAAGGAAGGACAGACAGACAGAGGAACAGAGAGTTTATAGGTACCAAAAATATTAGTTTATCAATATGGAGAAGTAGGCCTAATTATATAATAAATAACACTTTTCGAATTATTGAAATATTAAATACAGTACAAAACTTTTGTTTTTAGTAATAGTTCTTTAATAGAAGAGTATACGTGAAAGTTGTTATATAAGAATTCGTTTGTAACAAAAGTTTAAGTAACAAGTTCTACTATATTTTAATTTTAATGATGAATTTTCCATTATTATTTTTGAATAGTTAATCTGTGTATTAGTTTTAAATTTTATTGATTTCTTTATGCCAATTCATCGATCTTTCTCTTCAGCTTAAGAATATTATTATGCACTTCGAATTCGATTGCAGACAATGTAAACTAAATAATCACATTTTTAAATTTTTATGATGAAATTTTCAGGTATTCAGTATATATAATAAATACAACTAATCCGACAATTATTTTAAATGTCAAACGAACAGCCATATTCCTTTATCAAGGTATTATTAATTATAATATAAAATTCATTAAAGTTCAGATTATATTTAACAAGAGGTGGCAGCCTGTCGGCCTGCCTTTTGCCAAATTGTTTAGTAATTTTTAACTTTAATATCCCGATAACATATTCGACTATTCGTTTGACTTACGAAATTGCAAAACAGACTATTCAATAATAACAGGAATTCAGTTTGTTTGACAGCTGTTATCATTTTATGAGGTAGAATGAGTACAGTACCGGAAAGAAAGAGGTAATAAATTTGACGAGTCGTTCGATTTCTGACAATTAACATAAACAAATTACAAACACAGATCGAAGTTAGAACGAGTTACATCATACATAGCATTAGTCAGCTCTCCCAAAAACGTGTATAAAAAGGGCCTGGACACAGTCCTGCGGGCGGACATCAACAGTGGACACCGTACTCTTCCCGCCATAATCGCCGGCGGACATTCTCCCAGAGAATGTCCGCCGAGGGAGCCAGCTTCCGTCCGTCCGTCGCCACCCTTGACTCGACCGCCCTATCGCCGTCTCTCTGCCAGGATGATCGTGATCTGAATGAAAGGAGGAATACTGGCCAACTCTTATGACCGCCGATCCGGGTGCGTTTCATCGACGTCCTATACAACAAGATCGGGAACCATCGGTCTATGAGGTATATTATACGTAGAATTGTAAACTCTCTCTCCCTCGGTTCTTTAGTTAAGTACTTCTTTAGTTCTTTAGATAAGTAGCAGTAACGCATCCTTTATATCCAACCTTAAAAAACCTTATGTATACTAGCTTAAGTTTATATTAAAGTTGTTGTTTTGTTGAACCTATGGATCTGTCTATATTTCTTTAACGGGCATCTTGTCGACTTACTCACACCTCCCCATTCGATTTAAAAGCCCTCCTAGCCATCCTATGACGAGAAGTCGGTAAGAAGGGTTGAGCTCACGGCTCTTTTCCCTCGGTTCTCACGTATCTATTCTTACATATATTTATTTTGATGAATTTTAAATAGAATAATTTTTAATTATAATTATTTTTGTTTTAAACAAATAAATCATTTGGAAATAAAAATGTTAATAACTAATCGTTATTAAAATTCATAATTACATAATTAAATCGTTTGTTTTATTTAATTGCATTATATTCTTTTATACTTTGGCATCTAAAACTCAAGCGATAATTATGTTGACCTAACTTAAAGTTTCGTTATTTCTTTTATAAATGATGAAGTTTTATCTTTAATTATTATCGGTACTTTTAAAATTTGTATTTACAATTTTAAAATTAACTTCTTAGTTTGTTTGCATTACAAAATTGATTTACTCTTCTTTGATAATTTTATTAGACTATATTAAACTATGCATAAACATTTAGTCTTCAGTTTTAAGCAATAAATAATAAATAAAATGCTTAATAGTTTATTTAATCATAACTCTGTATTTATATTTAGATAGTGCCATAGATAGTGAAGCCGACGATGTTGTTGCCGACGAACAGATTGCTCAGATTTTTGAAGCTGATCGCATAGGTGCAAAGGTAAGCGAATACAATAATAAAAATTTTAAGTTTAAAACTTTACTGATTTAATTGGAAGTAATAGCAGTAACTAGGACAGAAAAATTATATGTATATAACTGATATTATCCAAAAAAATCGATAATAATTTACAGTAATATTTAATACTCACTTTAGATAGGAAAATAACTTTCTGTCTGATTTAACAAAATTTTATAGGATTAATTGAAGTAGAACAGATTTTTATATAGCGCAATACTGATCCTAGGTAGAATTAATAATTGAGTGTGTTTGGATTGAAAACAGTGCGTTACGCATTAGCAATTTTTCAAGCAAATCAACTGAACAGTGATAGTTTCTTATAAGACCGATAGACGATGTACACATCTAAATTTGTTAATTGAGAGGAATGTGTCAGTTTTTCATCAAGCTCTCTCAATTCATTTGTGTTTTAACAAAAACTGAATTACATTTTAAAAAATTAATTTTCATTATGATTAATTTTCTATATTTCAACCGAATATTTATATGTCTAATAATATAAAATATTTAGGATCAGATCAAACATTTTGAATATCTAAAATTTGATAATTTGGATCCTAAAACAATTTTCTATTGGTGCATTGAAATAACCATTGAGATGTTCGAAAATCATTCGGAGTGATTGATGCTTTCTACGTTTTCTTGTGCTTAATACAAGATGGCGATCTTCACGAATTATAATAATCTTTGGAAGATGATGCCCAATTCTTTTGACACTTTGTTTTGCTTCGGAAATTGTTACCGTAATTTTGGAACTGCTTTTGGATGTCTACTTAAGATTTTTTTTTACATACGGGTGTGAGACAAACTTTCCAGTCTTTCTGTTGTTTTAAATCTTAATAAATTACATAAATGCCTATGAGAAATTTATGATTTGTGTTGGAATGAAATGTTTTTATACCTTTGAAACAGATTTAAAGGTTTTATTCTATTTGTTTAAAATAAATCTCCTTATTTGTTTGTTGAAAACCCATTTATAAATTTGGTTAAATGATTTTATAAGATATTTTTATTATTATTAGGCATGTGCTGCTATATCGGATTCA